TAGTTTGGAGAACCGGCAGCAGAAATTGAGTAGTTTGGAGAACCGATAGCGGAAATTTTGAGTAGTTTGGAGAACCGGCAGCAGAAATTGAGTAGTTTGGAGAACCGGCAGCGGAAATTTTGAGTAGTTTGGAGAACCGGCAGCAGAAATTGAGTAGTTTGGAGAACCGGCAGCGGAAATTTTGAGTAGTTTGGAGAACCGGCAAATGCCACCTCTGGCTGGCCCCCGAGTGGGGTGGGAATGGAGATTTTGCAGCATCCTTCCCCACCAAGCCACACCACGCGCACCAAGACATGCCCACAGAACCGCTAGTAAAAAAATTGAATTTCACCACTGGCCGGGCCCCATTTTTGGCTATATGCACCCCACCCCAAGCTCCATTTTCACTGGCAGAGGCATCACAGGCCAGTCTTTTGCTGTTTCCTGAAAGGCCCCACAGGCCAGATTTAACCACCCCTGCGGGCCGGATTTGGCTCGCAGGTCTTGAGTTCGACACCCCTGATCCAGAGGGAAAGAACCCCAAACCAGAGACACCAACGATCCCCAGTTGTCGAGATTATTTATATGTTTGCTTTACGCAACTCGTATAACAGCGCCGCAAAAAAAGAACCGGGCGGGCCAGGGAAGGCTGTGGTTTTGTGCATTTTGTTCCTTTTATTAAAAAAAAAAACAAAAACAAAAGAGAAAAAAAAAAGGAGGATCCAGCTACAGGAAGCTCTCTCTATCTTCTCTTTCTCCCTCGGCCCCCTTGCCACCCGAAAAAACCACCCCGCCCTGGCCGACTTTTTAAATTCCCTCGCAATCCATTTTTTCTCCCCCTCCACCCCCCCCACAGCCTCGGCCATTATTACACAAGACATATTACATATTTATAAATATAAACCCCTCCCACCCCACATGGAGACAGGGGTTACGGAGGGAAAGGAAAAGGCGTCCTCCCCTCCCACCCTGCCTTTTGCACTTATATTACAGCACGTGAATGGCGGCGAACGGAGCCGGCGGCTGTGGGGAGACCCAAAGGAAAAAGGAAAGGAGTTGCTACCTAGAGCCAAGGTTGTCTTAGCTTAATGGGGGAGGGGGGGGAAGGAAGAGGAGGAGGAAGAGGGCAGGGTGGTTTTTTCCCCGCTGCCTCGAGGTGGCAGCCACGGAGACACGTTCTCGGGCGACAGTTCCAAGTGCTGCAGGAAGAGAGGGCGGATCTGCTAACCTGGCCGACAATTTTCTCTTTCTTTTCCTTTCTCAAAATTAAGAAGCCCTGGGAGGCAAGTCGCTTTCCCCCCCACCCCCATTATTTCCACCCCTCGCTGGGGTTTTTGAAGGACCCTGTTTTGTCCTCCGGGCAACCGACGTGGGGACGAAAAGGAGCCTTGTCTGCTCGACGCTCCCCCCCACACCCCCGACGGGACTCCCCGAGTTCTCTGGCCTTTCAAATTCAATGTCATGAGGATGGCTAGCCCCCTCGGGGAAGGAGCTGGCCTTGTCGGAATCCGTCCGTCTGCCCTCCGGACTTCAGTTCAGTCTTCTCCTTCCTCCTCTCCTTCATCGCTGGAGTCGGAGTTGGCTGGCATCATGGGGTCGTCGTCCAGCAATGAAAAGTCCCGTTCCGAGCTGGCGTAGCCCTGAGACAAGTCGTCCATCTCGTCTTCCTCCTCGTCTTCATCCACGCGCTGAGGGTGGCCCAGATGCAAGGGGGCGCCGGCGTAGCTGGGGTGGCCCAGTCCTGGATGGAGAAGGGTGCCGGAGGTGGTGGCGGCAGTGGCTGCAGCCGCCGCGGTGGGGAACGGCATGTATTGCAAGGCGGAGCCATGGGCTGGGGTGGTTTGGAAGTGGGCGTGGTGGTGCAGAGAGAGGGGTCCTGTGGCTCCCAGTTGGACCCGGCCGGCTCCCATCAGAGCCATCATGTTGGAAAACTCCATCGGGGTCTGACGACCACGTTTCTGTGCGTTGTCGGCCCCCACGGCTCCTGGAAGGAGGCGATTCATTGTCGGGTCTGGAAGGAAACCCTAAAGGGGAAGCAAGAGATTAAATTAGGCCATGTTCATACTCCCGTTGGCCGAGCCTGGTTAGTGGCTCCTTCAATGAATGGGCTCACTCTGGGCACTGACAGCAATTGATTTTTAGTGACCTGCTCAAGTGGGAGGAGCCAGTCTCTGGTTGTTGTTGTTGTTTTTTTGAGAGAGAGAAGGGAAAACAAATTCAGCCCTCAACTTACGACAATTCATTCAACCACTGGTGGTGGTGGTGGTGGGAGATTGGTCCTACACTTAACAAGGGTAGCGGCATCCTTAGGGTCAGTCACCCAATCAAAATTCAAGTGCTTGGAAACCCACTTGAAGTTATGGCGTCCCACGGTCTTTCTGAGACTTTCCCAGAAAGGTTTTGACAAGCAAAGCCAATGGGGGAAGCTGGATTCGTTTAACAACTGGGGCAAAAAGAGTTGTAAAGTCAAGTGCAACTCATTTAACAACTTCATCACTTAGCAATGGAATGTCCATTCCAAATTGTGATCATAAATCAAGACCCCCCCTCTCTCTCCCCCTCCCTCCATTCTTCTATCATTATCTACGTATCCTCCATCCATCCATCATCCATCATTATCTACATATCATCCATCCATCATCTATCATCCATCCATCCATCATTATCTATATATCATCCATCCATCATCGATCCATCCATCATTATCTATGTATCCTCCATCCATCCATCCATCTATCCACCATCCATCCATCCATCCATCATTATCTATGTATCCTCCATCCATCCATCCATCTATCCACCATCCATCCATCCATCCATCATTATCTATGTATCCTCC